TGAAAAATATAAGATTCAGTCAACGTCAACGCGAAAAGCTATACGTCTGCTGCATCTCGTCCTTGGTTCCGCGAAGTCTTCAAGTCACGTCTGGTGAGACTTCCAAACTCCGGCATGCACCCACAGACGGGGAGAAATTCTCCTGACAGATTGTAGCTACAATCATGTTTGAACTTGGCCCAGAGTAGAAAGCAGTTCATGGACCTCAGAATTATGGCCATGATACACTAAGATCTTAACACCGATGAGCTTTTTACTCGCATCCTCTAAACCTCTGTCAAGTGATGGAAGTCTTCCGGTTCATGTGACATCGCGGAGAGGCAAAGTTGAAAATCATGGGAGCCCGAACTCGGAAACAAAACTACGAACTCACATCATGACATGAGTCCTTTGATAAGATTTAAGGTCTCTACTGTGCTTGGGCATTGACAACCCATGATCTCCATGATCGCCGACCACCTCTCAATCTCCTCGGCGGATAACTTGAATCTAAGCCTCTCAGCACAAAGGCTTCCCTCCAAAAGCTGTCACTCCGATGTTTCATTGACCACCAGAGTCTCTTGTCTCTGGCTCAGACCTCATGTAAGCCCCAATATGGCAGGTAGTTCCACCCGGGATGGTCGTGCGTATCTGAGAGCATGCAGGCAGCTTCGGATGCCGACCTCGTGGCGGTCTGACAGGCTGCAGCTACTAGCGCCGCGAGACACCCATCCAAAATAGACTGGCCCGTTGTGGGATACCTCAGTGAGATCTCTCACAGCCTCATAGCCCACCAAGGGATGCGTGAATACTTCCAATCGCATCAGACAGTCCGCAGGCCATGCCTCACGACACTGTCATGACGCGGCGTGAGGACAGCCTGGATGAGCCCATATACGCGCAGTACAGATTTTCACAAACAGTGCCGTCAGGGCAAGGCATCGCGTCGCACATCAGACTCCTGAGTATATCAGAAGACATTCTCGCGACAGTACACGGCGAGCGCGACATCCTCATTTGGAATGTCAAGCTCAACTTGCCTCCTCAGCGCATCGAAATCGACATAGTCCTCGACCACATTACGGGCATTGCCATCTCTCCGACAAGTAGCGACGTTCTCGCGCTGTCGTTCCGGTCGGGGTCCAAATGCGAGGAGGTATGGACGTTCAACTGGGCAGACAAAGCCCCTGAGGCAATGTTCACGACGGGTTTGGACTTCCACTCACCACAATTTTCGCCTGATGGTCGTTTACTCGCGTGGATATCGGCCGGGTGTGTGGACGTTTGGGAAACAATTATCAACACGCACGTCCAGACAATCAGCGAAAGCAAGAAAGTGACCAGCGGCCGGCCGGTATCCAAGTTCGCATTTTCGACGGATTCAAGTCGACTCGCAACGGTGGATCGTTCGGGGAGGCTGGTGAGCTGGGACGTCGCAACATGGACGTATATTGGCGAATCGAAGGCTCAGCCGGCGATGGACGACGGCGGGTGGGAACCAGTGCAGCTCGTCACAGATGCCAGACGTGTCATGATGGTCTCCCGCGGCGTAGATGGCGAAATTCCGCAAAAGTGGAGGTTGACAACATGGTGGCCGAGTAGCGGTAACAGGGCGGAACTCGAGATGGACGAATGCGTATATGGATGCGTTCCTGGAAATTGCGCATTCGTGGCGACGGTTCAGTCAGACGGGGGAAAACTGCGAATTCGTGACGCGAACAACGGCATGTGCTTCGATCAGTCGACCCAAGGCATAGCGAAACGCGGCAAGATACCCTCGGTGGTGACGGGCGGTATGGTGATGAGTGGAAAGATTATGGTAACGCAGATTGCCAACGGGAGGACGACTATATGGCAGTTGGTGGCCACGGAGTAGGGCTCGAAGCGCACGACGGCGCGAACGTGACTCGCGAAAGGGCACGATGTCTTGGTTGGGAAGAAGGGTTTGCACCAAGATATGCGCCAAACCGAGCAGAGCCCGATAACGACGATTATCTTCTCACGAACTCGCTGATTCTGGTCAGCGAAGCGAAATCCAAGCTAGAAGTAGGCGGGGGTCGTCTTGATGGGGCCTAGTCGCCGGGAGAAGTTGTGGATTCGGCGTTATCTTACTCAAAATTTGACCTCAATTTCCATCAAGCAATGTTTACAAACTATCCTGCTAGACCGGCGCCCGCTTACTCTTGTCAGAGCATTTAAGTCAACTTGTTGCAGTCGGAAGCTACTATCCCTAATCGCCCGTACTTGAAAGACATTGTCACCCCCCCTGTGTCTCCGAGTCAAACCGCTTCATATACGGAAGGCGGCATTCTACGCCGCATTATGGCCGTGTTTTGCTCGCGTTCTACCGCACGTTTGAAGGATCAAGTTGCATGGGATTACCAAAAGAGTGATAAGAGCTTGGGTGACAAAACTCCAGGTCAAACCTAACCCACTTGTTAGTCTATGTTGGGCTGAGAGGCAGGCGGGTACCATACCAACAGCTTCAACCCAAGTATTGATGAACCAAGGGACAAGGAACGCAGAAATCTATAGGCCGCATAATATTGAGTAAGCTTGTGTTCCTTTTGCATCTCCTAGAGTACATAATGTACAAAAAGATCGCCCCACATTGTAGAGAAACCCATACAAAGATATGACTTCCAGGACCTGATCTGGGAAAGCAGCGATCGAGTACGTTATCACTGTTACGTTTCCCATTTGAATCCTGCAGCGACTGCGCCATACATTAGTTAAGGGTTCCCGGATGAGGGGTTGTCTTCTCACAGATGAACAAAGCGACCTCTCCTATCATGAAATGCCAACTGCGATCAATCAAAATACCCCACAAGACGCATCCTCCCGCCCCGAGTAGTGCCGCGGGATATGCAAGCCATAGATACATCGCGGGTGCAATTATATCATTCTTGCTTCTGGCGAGCTGGGACGCGAGTTTGTCAAGAATCCGACTAGAACACACCATTTCGATAGTACCAGTGCCTAGGATGAGGCCAAGCCAAAGCAAACCCTGAGTTTGGCTGCTGAATTGGGCATATGCCACTGGCCCCATTGTGAGAAAACAGACGACCCTGGACAGATCCCGCTAGATAAAGGACTCTCGTAACATTGTCACCTGATTTTGGCAGTGTATTTTACCACCAATACTGGAAGAATATGTAAGGAATGACTGCACACAAAAATCGAGGCTGGGCCACAAGCTTCATGAAGTGGATGGCCGTCATAAACATCAGCCTCTTTGACCCTACTTGAAGCTGCCGTACTCCCTGCAAAATCGTGAGGATTTTGAAACAGCCACGGTGCAAAAAGACTTACCCAGAGCCTCAAATTCTTCGTTGTTTTGACGATGTTTCACTCTTGGTCCAGTAAGACACTGTCTGATATAGATTTTCGTGGGTAGAATGTTTCCGGTAAGAATGATATCTCGAGTAAGAGGAGAACTCCGAAGGCAATTGCAACATGAAAATGCACCCACAAGATCCCAGCATCAACAACATATCCTCCGACTATACCCAATGTCAGGGCTGTTCACGTTTCTCGGGTGATGCAAGCATGTCCGGCGGCCAAGGCATCGGACAGTGAGTCATTGATGTAGAGTCGTGCATGAAATCTCGGCGATTCCCAGTCATTGGATTACAAGAGAGCAAGCTTGTATTCACTGCAAGATCATCCAAGACGGAGTCCATTACGTTGTTCATGTCTAGAGAGTCCAGGAGCTGCGTATCGACTTCTATGTCGTCGAAGGCAGAGAGTAGTGCGTCGTTTGGAGCCTACTCTCCGTACAACTCCGCACTCTCAATGGCGTTTTCGTCCATGAAAAGGGTCTCAAAGTGATGATCGCCATTGTTGACATCTTGACTGCCAGGAAGATTGAACCCCGGAAACCCACGATCACCCGTGTGGCCGGTTACGAGCCACAGGTCACCGGTTGGATCTCCAGTCAGAAGATCATCGTTGTGAGTCTCTGAAGGGACCTCAGCTGTGCAAAGGGCCGTTGAATCAGAAACTAAACGTTGACTCTCTACTATTCGGCTGCTAGAAGCATGTTTCTGCATGCCTGGTTCCTGATTCTCGGGTTCTTCGGGTGTCCATATCTTGAAAACCTCGAGGTCGCAGGCCAGATGAGCCTTCAACCAAAGTGAACATTTCGGGCGTTTTTTATTACACTACAAATCTTGTCAGAATAGGCTTTCGCTTTGGTGTACGTATGTGGCGATAGCTTCGTCACCAATGATGGTCGAGGTAAGACATACTCTGCGCTTCTTCCTCGTAATACAGAAATCAAATGCATCAAAGTTTCAAGTTCCTTCCTAAAGTGGTGCACGGAGATCAGAAAGCACCCATGGTTTCTTCAGAACCTTCAATCTCGCCGTACCGTGGCAACTCTTCTAACGCTTTTTTTTTTTTTGAAATCTTGAAGCCTTGGAAGAGATCTTCTTCGGGAATAGTCAAGGCGACTCCCAAACGAATGCGGCCATCAGGGCCAGGAAAGACAAGTAGACCCTTGCTAGCGCACAGCAATGAGAACCGGCGGGGAGTAATGTTCGCCGATTTACTTTCGTACTCTGTGTCCAGCAAGATAATCAAGTCCGCGCCGAAAGCTGGACAGTATCGCAGCCAGGGGAAATTCCATGTCGATGTTTGCGTGCTCCATTTGGCATGGATGACTCGGGCCCGCTGCTGTAGGTTCTCCTCCTCGTAGATATCCAATGCGGTGGTCACACCTGTGACGGCCATCGAAGACATTGAGAACGTGCTAACTGAGTGGTATGGCTTCATTTTTTTCATGACTTCATCGGGGCCAAGCAGGAATGAGGTTGGCAAGACACCTCCGGAGATAGACTTGCCCATGGTCACCATATCTGGTTTGTGCTCGGGTCCCATCCAGTCAGAACTCAAGAACCTGCCAGTCTTGCAGGATCCCATCCGGACTTCGTCTGCGATGAAGAGAATATTGTACTGCTTGCATAGCTTCCAGACGCCAATGCAAAAGTCGATCTCTTCCTCCATGGTCCTTGGAAGGGTTAGTAAATTGTTCGATTGTGTCGCAATGTTAGATGCGGCATTGGGAAGATAACTCGCCTGGCAAGTCCATGAAGTGGCTCCATGATGATGGCAGCGATACGCTCATGCATCTGCTCAAATATCTCTGCATAGTCTTCGACATGAAGGTAGCGAAGAACCTTTCCTGTTTGAGGGTTGATGTTGGTCATACTTTTGCCGAATGTCGCGAATTCTGGGTTTCATTTTACTATTTTAACATTTATCAAGATAAGCTTGATGTGGCGGCTTACCTTCCCAGCCGGCCTCCGGCTCCATGAGAGGCCACACTCCAGAAAGCGTACCGTGGTAGTTGTCTGACGTTCCGAGGACAAGAATCTTCCTAGGGTCGATTTTCTTGATGTCGACTCCCCATCCACGCGCCAACTTGCAAGCCGTATCTGTAGCTTCAGAGCCCGACGTCATGGCCAACACTTTGTCATAGCCAAACTTATCATACAACCGTTTGGCCAAACGAGGCCATCCTTCTGCTTGGCCAGCAATATTGGCGAGTGTTACTGGGTACAAGTTAGCACAGAATGATCAGCGGCATAGATGAAGATCGTTTTCTGACTTTTCTTGGCTGAGTTGACTTGCGCTTCAAGAAGCCTCGGATGACATTGCCCAAGGTTGCTGGCGCTGAATCCACAGATGAAGTCAATCAGCTCGCGCCCATCGGAATCCTTGACCTGCAGTTAGTCTCAAGGACAAAGACATCCCGGGCGGGGTGCATCTTACGCGAACTCGGGAACCTTGCCCAGAGACTAGGTACACTGGCAAAGAGTTGATCCCTCCGACGCTGTAAGTCTTGTTTATCTCGTTCAGTGCACTGCCAGATGCCGGCAGGGGGGAGGGAAATTTTGGTTGCAGTGGCACTCTCTAACATGGCTGCATGTACCTCTCTGCTTGGTTCGCTGGAGCAAGACGATCTTAAGATTGCAAACAAGATTCATATTTCATATGGTTTTCAGATAGCGTGCAAGAATACTTATTTGATGCAGGCCTCATTCTACCTCCATGAAGGGGGCCTCGGATTCAAACATCGAAATGTGTCAATCGGGAAGTCTTACCACCAAAATCTCATAGGCCATGTCCCAATATTAGTCCTTCGCTGCAGAGTAGGTAGTGAAATGCAAGGACGCAAATGTAGAAGATTATGCTGCCCCCGATCGACGGCCAGAATTTTACCGACCGGGCATGGTATGCGATAGACTTCGGCGACGAAGGCAGGCTCGTCAGTGTATCGATTAGAAGCCACTAGCATGACTGCCATTATTCAGCTAGCAAGCCGAAAATATGAGAAACGTTGGAATCCGTCATTATCGTCATGCACGCGGAAAATCTGCTCCTTTCGACCAGTACATGATGGTCACGCGGCCGCAGCAAAAGGATGCGACGAGCCTCGGTGGAAAAATTGCCTAAAACGGACTGGTCTTGCTCCGGGCTTCTCCGCAAATGTTCCTCGGCACTACAAGTTGCGATTAATGCCAATTGCCCGATCAATGCAGGTTTCTTTTGTACATTGGATACGAACCCTCCGTCTCAAGGCGACAGCTAAGATCCCTGGCCCTTGGCACTTGAAGCTCACAAGCCTATTTGTCAAATATCGTGAACTGTTCGGTCAGAAAAGAGAACGGTTTGATAACCTACATCTTCGATTTGGACCCGTCGTTCAAATCGCGTGCAACGAGGTTTCGTTCGCAAGCTACATAGCAGCAAAGCAAATCTACGGCTCGGGAAGTAAGGACTTCTAAAAATGGAGCTATACTCTCTCGTTCAGCAAGACGGTCACATGTAAGTGCCTTGCCACGGGTTTGTTTTTGACGCCTGTTGTGATCATGGATCTGACATCTGCAGCAACCAGTTCACAGCCCTCGACTCAAATACCGTACCTATGACACTCTCTTCCAAATGTAAGTTCCGTGCTCTATGGCTAACGTAACCAATGATAGCATAGCACTATACGGCGCCATCTCGCTGGCCGGTACTCCAACTCATCGGTTCTGCGACCTCAGATCATCGAGATGATAGACGAGCGGGCAGGAGCCTTTGGGGCGGTGTGTGCGGTTCCAGATACGGCAGACATCTACGTGAGATACCCGAGGTCACCCGCATGAATGTGGTTTCTGACTGTGTGCGCTGAAATATTAGTTTTACCTGCATGCATACGCTCTCGATTGTGTGACTGGGATGTTGTTTCATCCTCGCAGAACAGATTCACTATTCGACGCTGGTGACCAGCAGATGGTCAAGCTGCTATCCTTATGCCAAAACCGGAGAACGTAGATTCTCATCGAACGCGCTTTAGAGTCAAGAAACTCTCCGGGATGCGTTCTTAACACTAACGAGTCTCGCAGTAACCTTGTTGCACCATTATCTGCCCCTACTATCACCACTCTGGGAGGCCGTGTTCTCGAAGCTGGTCGACCTGGAACAAGGAAGCAACTTTTTGCGAAGGTTTGTGCAGAGCTCGTTGGGAACCGGAGACTACTCCGACTTCACCTTGGCACGAAAGCTTTCAGAATCGAGCCATGTAAGCAGGCCCCTGGCAGAAGCTGAATGCCTCGACCACATTGGCGCTGGGATCGAAACTATAGGTGATACCTTGTGTTGGCTCATTTGGGAACTCTCTCGGCCCAAACACGAGGGAAGAGTCCAAAAACTTCACAACGAGCTTGTCGAAGCAGAGAATGATCGGCCTCTTCACAAACTGCCCTATCTGAGCGCTGTTGTTCATGAGGGCTTGCGTTTATTTGCCCTAGGAACGATGTCGCTTCCACGTTACGCGTCAAAACAGAGCGCCTTTATTGATGGATATTTCATCCCCAAGAATTCGATCGTGGCGTTTAACTCCTTTAGCATGCATCGCCTGGATGAGAGTACGTTCCCGGACGTATGCCAATTCGTTCCTGAGAGATGGTTGGATTCAGAAGACAACACTGATCGACAACGTTCATTTCTTGCCTTTGGGTTTGGCCCACGGACTTGCATCGGGCGGCAGTAAGCTTGGATACTTCATCCACGTCGAGTTAGAGGTTCTTGGTCAAGGGGTGAATCGCTAACTTGCGCAATGTGCGCTTTGTAATCTTGCTATGGCTGAGATGAGAGCTTGCTTGAATGCAGTCTACTCCAAGTATCGTACTAGACCCTCCCCGGATATGCGGTCGAGTATGGAGATGGACGATCAAGTTCTAACATCCCGTCCCCGAGATCTGTGCTACAGGACACAGTTCGTACCTTGGGACCTAGAGGCGTGGTTCTCCAGAGTGCCTTCATCACACGCAGTTGAGGATCACTGGCATCTGTTGCTTGGCAATCGGGCTGGCACAGGTATAGAAGCTTAGAATATGAGCCCTAATTCCGGGTCATCACTCAACTTCCAGAGATCTTCTCAGTATTGGAAGGGTGGCCGAGTTGGTTATGGCGCCAGGTTAAGGTCAGCTTAACATCTGTTTCCTGGTGGGGCAACCCGCGCGAGTTCGAGTCTCGTCCCTTTCAAGATTGTCTTTTTGCATGTCGTGGTGATATTGATATCCATTGTCCGATGATTTTTTTTGTTGCGATTTGACGAATTCGGTGAACTCCGCCGATGCGTCTTTTTTGGGTACGTACCTCGAGAATTGAGTTCCGTCTGCAGAAATTGTTAGTGCAACGGAACGGACCAGTAGATGGGGCAGAAACGGCTCAGAGTGGGTTCTTCGGATACGAGGGACCTGTGAGAACTCTGCACCGGTGGGGCCGTCACCGACAATGTGCCGTGGACCAACCAGGGACGGTTTTTCTCCGTGCACAGGCCACTTTCTCGCCCGATTCATCCCCGACTGTGGATCCGGGCCTGGATTGATGTTTGCCCCATTCCGGACGTCCTCCGACCGGTCTTCCCAGCTGCTGTCGACTCGTCTCCACGCAGATGTTACACTCGCTGAAATTGTTGGAACGCACCATCATTTCATGAAGATTGCGCTGCTGCAGCCTTAGCTTCGGGGGGCAACGGGGGACCCAAGCGACCCAAGGTCCTCAAAATACAGGGGCGATGGATGCTGCAGGCATGTGCGCACTGCGCAGCGCTGCCTAGCGCTGTAGTCCACTGTCCACTGGTCCAGAGGTGCAATGTACCGAGGTGAAACGCGGTATTTTGCACTCAATACTGGGACTGACGAAGACATCAAGCCAAAGAGATATGTCTGTCAGAGCGGCAGAGCAATTGTTGAGACCCGACAGTTGTTGGTTACTGGTGGTCCGGTTCTTGGCCAATCGTTGCCGGCCGTTGCAAGTACGCAGTACGCAACTTTGTGGATTCGAGCCTCTTGGACGACCTGGTCTTCTTCACGTGCGGACTTGCTCTGCTCCGCAATGCCTTGTCTTGCGTCGTATCATCCTACTGCTGCGCGTCCCAATTCCCTCTCGTAATCGTCAACTACACCAGACCATATGGGTTCCTAGGAGCTGTAAGCAACAGCTGGCCATGCGCAGCGCATCTGAGCGTATCTTGCCTCGTAAGATCACAGCTGTGCCGTTTGCTGCCCATCGCGATCGGTCCAGAAATTGGACGTCGGATGCTTTTCGCAGACACCGACCACGTGAGCGGTGGAAGCAGTATCGTCTCCGATCAAGGTGCTCGACGGATGCGCATGCCGCCCAGATAAGAGTACGGCTTGCGAGTGTCAACCTCCAAATGGTGTCGTATCTTTGGATTGTTTCCGAAGGTCTGGCCGCAGACTTGTTTCGTAAAGCTAACTGCGTCTTATCTTGGGCGATAGGCGATTGCTGTTTTCGAACGGCGACCCAGGCAACCAGGAGCGACAAGGGGTTCAAGGGGATTCCTCGGCGTCCACAATTCCATCCTTGAGCCTTGAGATAAGCAACCACAGCAGTCTGGGGTTTCGGTAGGTCCCCCACGCAGTGATGGAGGAGGCCCCTTTCCGCCCCTACATCGAGTGGGCTTCTTGATGGCCACGGTCAGCAAAGTCCCCGTAACGTATCAGTTCGGATAGTCGTACATTGCGCGGATGAGCAGGATGTCTTTCCCCGAGTCCCTAGTCTGAATGGTAAGCTACGCCGTATGCCTTACCGAGGCGGGTGGTGTTTGGCGGCTATAGTCCTATCTTCGAGGCGCGCTGGCGCGGTCTGCGACAAGTTGACATCTTGGTCAGGAGACACTTGTGGCGTTATCAAATCGGTTTCCCGGCGTGTAGGCCGCCCCGTGGCTGTGAATGCCGGGATAGCCATTGGTCTCGCTCAGTCTATACCGGCTGAGTTTCCTGGATTTGGGAAGACGTCGCGTGATCTGCGTAGGATCGCTATTCCCGAGGGCTAGAAGTCGGTAGTTGGAGATGTGTTCAGGGCTAAACGTCGTCGTCACTCCTGTCAGGGCGGCCTGCTTGTCGGCCGCCTTCGTTCTTGCAAGTACCTCGCTAACAGGGTACGGAGTTGGTAGAGTCGGAACTGATGTTTCTCTGCCTATCAGTACCTTAGCCCATGGTGTATCGATGCCCTTGTGCCGTCCAGCACGCTGTATCAAGGATCTGTTCCGATGAGATGTTGGTTGCTTCGTCTACTCCGTACATAGCCATGTGAGCTTCCCCGGCTGTCAGCGTTTTCTCGTCTCGCTGGGTGACATTACTCCGTGAATTAATCGCACGAGTGGTGTAGCCGGCATAGAGTATAGCTTATCCGTACATACATAGGAGATGTGCCTTGGTCCCGGTCGATGGCAAGGGATTCAAGAATCAAAGATTGATGCAGCCGTAGTTCGCATCCTGCAGTCGAGCTAACATGGCCATGTCTAGAGCAAGGAGTAAGGATCTTCGTCAATGGAAAATGGGAGACTTTGGCGATGGCCCAGGAAAGATGGAGGCGTCAGAGAGATGCGGTTGCCGCAAGGCTGGAGAGGATCCAAGGCGTCGGTGGAGGAAGGCACGGGTGGGTCTGGTCACTGTCAGCCTTGAGGAAGCCACGATGTGAGGCAGGTGCGACGACGGAACCTGCGCACCTTCCATTTGTTCTCTAAGATATTGCAGGTGGAAGGAAAGGAAGGTGCGATGTCCCCCTTCTTGAGATGCACCTTCCCGCCCACTCCATCTGGACGCAACCACGTGCTTCCGATCCGACGACATCTTGCCGCATTTCTCAGGCCCGCGGTGGATGTCTCCGTAAGGTACAGACGCGAGGTTCACTCCACTCAACTTCATGTCAAAATACGCCAGCGAACGTGTTTCTCTTGGTCTTCAACTCCACGTCGCATTCCGCTCTCATCAACAGCTGCCGTGGTCTTGGCGCCTCTAAACAACCTTCCTCACTTGAAGACCTACAGCGGGGTTCCCTATTAGACGTCCTCCCGTCCTGGACCACTCCCGACTCCCCCATGTACCTTGCCTTGCCCTCTCGGCTCTCGCATGGCTATCTACATACTGTTGCACTGCACTGCAACGGAGAATCTAGACGCAGATCTCTTCCAGGGCAAATGTTGGTTCATGGATGCTGTTGGTCACCGCCATGTGATGCCCTCGCTAATTCGTTTCCAGCTGCGGCTCAGCGGCACCTAAATGTTTTGACGTACGGGAGCGAAGGATGAGGAGGAACCGTTCTCGAGACCCTGCGCGCGTGTCTGCGGGCGTTCGATCACCCTTACCAAAGTCACTGACCAGGTACACCTACCTGTACGCTGGTATCCTTATTCTGCATACGAGGTCTCAAATTCAACGTCACTTCGTCTAAATGGCTTCTAGTGGTGGTTGTATCGGGCTCTCCGGAAAGGCAATCGAACCTTTTACTTTGCCCGATTCATACGCTTTCTTTCGGGACTCCGCCAAGCAATTTGTCGGTCTGCACTCGGTGTGTTAAATCTCGCTCTCGCCATCCCCACTTCACCAGCGACCGTCATCGCGCGCGCCACACCCGCTTCCATCAAAAGCGAGGCGTTGCGCATTTTGCTGCCCTCGCTGGGCCTCATTGGAAAGCCATTGAGCTGATCATGATGCAAGGCTATCGATTTGTTCCATCATGCCATCTCAGCCTTTCCCCGGATTCGATACGTATATACGTATCGTGAGTGTGCCCCTCCTGTTCAGCCTGGCAGTGGACAGGGTCTCCAGGGTCTAAGGGTACCAATTGCGCCATCAGCGAGCCTTCAGGCTTCAGCGCAAGTGGACGACCCAGCATGGCGGGACAAACGTCGACGTCCTTGTCGCGCGTGCTGCGATCGGGTGTCATCCCCCGGACTGACCTGGCTTCCCTCCACCAAATAGCCGGGTTTGGCGCTGAGCCGGCTCGATAGGTGCTGAGGGAGAAATTTCTTGGCTTGACGACTCGTCTGTCTTTCCCATCAAGGAATCGAACGCTTTCCTCACATCCCGACGACAGACATGAATGGTAGACTGACAGCCACCGACGATTGTCACCGACAAGTATCTCACCCGCGTTAAGCCGGCGCAGAGATACTCTTACGTACGACTCAGCTTGGCTCTAACTTGGTGCGGTAGGTGGGCGGATCATCACTGGAGTACCATCTGTGACATCAGCACCTATTCAGGGCCTCCTCAGAGCCACTTCAGAACCAC